TTTGAGGTTTTATTCACCCCGAGTAAATTTATTGATTACTGGCAAAACATTGTATCTAAACAACATTTCAAAAAACAATTTAGTTTTTGGAAAGTTGTGGTAATTCAGCGCGTTTAAATTTATATCACCGGATATACATAATTGTTTTTTTTTCTTTATTTATTTTCAAAACACACTTTTCAATAAAATTTTGAAACAATCTGATTTTTCCACATGGTGGACGGTAAACACACCCAAACATGGTATTTTTATTTTTGTTATTAATTATTTCAATAAAAAGACTTTCATAGTTTTCATTTGATAAGCATAATTGTTTTATTATGTTTCATTTGATAAGCATAATTGTTTTATTATTAATTGTTTTATCTTAAATATATATTTTCTAAGTATGTAAAATCCTAGTCCTCCACCTTTTTTATGATTTCCTCGTGGTTGGCTAATTACTTTGTAATTTGCCAAGCTTTAATTAGAATTTGATTCAATCGGACTATCTGTTTCATGCTAAGTCTCTAACACACCTATGACGTCGAACGTGTAGTTTATAATATTTGAAAATACTTTAAATTTTTCAAAGTTTTGACGCATGCTTCTTATGTTTAAATGTAATATAGAAAAAGAATTAATATCTTTTTTAATTTTAAAATTATAAAGATCAAAATATGATGTATTCATTAAATTCATTTCAGCTTCTTTAATAATATTTAAATTATCTTCAGAAAAGTTAAGAAAATTCTCAATAGGATCAAAATTTAAATTATTAAATCTTCATTCGCAAAAAAATTTTCATCCATTTTTAAAAATTAAAAATAAACGATAAAACAAGAGCTTATTCAAGAACTCATATAATAATATTGCTTATTTTTAAATAGTCGGCAAAATTTTAACTACATCTATATTTTTTTGCTTAAATTCGTAAACTATAAATTTATTATATAGAACTTTTGCATAATAGACATTTTGCCTATGAGTTTTTGCTTGTTCAAATTGTTCTTTACGAATTCTCCTAGTTATATATATATATATATATATATATATATATATATATATATATATATATATATATATATATATATATATTAGTACCTTTTAGTTTGTTGGCTTTATCCATAATTATCGCTTTATCTTCAAAGTCATTCAACTTTAGCACAATCGTTCGCAAGTGGTTCAGAACCACCATTACCAACTCAATGAGCACATTCAATCCTAAGTTCATTTGCAATTTCAAGATTTTCAACAAAGAATTTTTTGACTTTATTTTTAGTGTCTTTCCAATCTTTTTCATCTGCACCTTCAATGAGTCCATAAGTTATTTCGTCTGTTTCTATCCTCAATGTCTACGCTTTTTGATTTGAGTTTAGTGTTATCTGAAATGATTTTTCCTTGTATTTTTTTACATTAGTTATTTCTTCGACCACCTTTGCGAATTTATTATCAACACCCTTTACTTTGACTTCCCATTTATCACCAATAAAGTTCATGCTTCCTTTAATTTTACAAAGTTCCTTTTTTACATCATAAACATCTTTTTGAAGCGTGTCAATTTTTATATTTAAACTGCTAGCAATTTCACAAAAAAAAGCCATAATTTTTTCTTTTTGTACGTGCATTATTTCTCTCATCATTGTTATAGATACATATTCTTCGTGTTTAGCAATTTTTATTTTAATTAAATTTTTGGAAATAGATAGAAATAAGTAACTGTTTTGTAAATATATAAAACGTTTAAACGCAAGAAAAGCACGTCCGGATATAAAGTTTTAAGCATGAAAAAAGTAATATATTAAAAAAAAATGTTTAAGCTTGGTAATTTTGCCTTAGAAAATTTAATTGCCTAATAATGTCACCAAAATGATTTTTTCTAGTTAGGTAAACCTGGATATTAATAGAGGTGTAATTAAAAAGAATTTTAAAAATGATAATTGTTTTTAAAAAAAATTAGGATTTTATAGTTTTTTGTTTTTAAAAAAATAAGGATTTTTTTTGCAAACCAATTTTCCTAGGAAATGCTCCTGGTAGTTTTTGTTTAATAAAATCTAATTATTTTTTTTTAACTCTTTTAATATTGTTTTTTAAATCCTTATTTATTTACGTTCTTTTGATACCCGTATTGACCTAATTGCAAAAAAATACTTTTGTTAACATTCTAATTAATTTTTTATAGAAAATTTAGGCAAAATTATCTTTTTTAAAGTAATTATTTTTTCCAAATTTTAAATACTGTTTTCCAAAACAAAAAAAACATTTTTTACAGTCTCAAAAAAAAAGAAAATCCTCCACCCTACTGGGCACATTAAAAAAACTAAAAAATTTCGAGCCTAAAACTATGCTTTAAATGGGTTAGTACGACTTTTAAATCCATACTTAGACATTCAAAGCAATTCGAGTTTTAGAACCTCTTTCTTTATCTGGTATTACTCTATGTTTTATGCAACTACTTGTTAATAGTTATTGTATAATAACTGGCATTACTCAACAGCTGTTATTAAGTTAAAGTTTATCATTCTGTGAAGCTTAGTCTCAAACCAAAAACAATTGTTACAAAGTCGTGTTATATATAGTTAGAAAGCTTTTTTTTCTTCCTTTAAATAATAAATTTTTTTTTATCATGGTGGAAGAAAATTGTAGGATGACAAAGTTTAGATGGTAAAATACAAAAATTGATATTTTGGGACAAAAAATAGTATTTCCTAAAGAAAATAAATTTTGTATATTTCTTAGAATATTTAATTTGAAGCAAGACTAGTTGATTATAATACATAAAAAGTTCTTTCATTTTTATGTTGTTAAGACAGAAGTATCATTTTGATTCATTAGCAAATCGAGCTACTTTAAATGTTAGACTGTCTATAAAATCAATAATGTAGATAAGAAACAATACAGGAACAAAGATAGAACCTAGCGATACCTCTAAAGTTACTAAAAATGAAGAAGAGTGTTGGAGAAAAAAATGATTCAATAATCTAAAAAACTTTCCTAGATGCACCATATGAAACTAGCTTATAAGACTAGCAGGTCGAACTTTATAAAAATTAATTTATATATCAAGACCAATAGCTCATGCCTCACTAACCCATCTTATGGTCGACATAATCTTTTATTTACGGCAGAAAGCAAGTCAACTGTAGAACAAGAAAAATGAAATTGGGGTTGATTGTTCAGAAAGTTAGGTAATTTGAGATTGATTTTCAGAGAGTTATTGAACTCTTAGTTGTAAAGTGAACTTTTAGTTGTATAGTATTTATTGAGTTAAAGACCTTGCAAAAAATACAGAGAAGATCTGACAATAGTTGGAAGTGTGTTCTTCGGAGATTTTAAAAATTTTAACCACAAGTATCATTTTCCAGCTGGCAAAAAAAAAATCAGTCAAGCACTTATTAATTTATTTAGAGATCATTAAAGAGAGCTCTGAAGAAAAATTTTGTCAGACCGGAATGTTGCCTGAACCATAAGTAGTAAAAGATTTTGTTAATAAAACTGTCTAAGATTTTTCAAAAGTCTATAGAACCAAACATCTAAATTAAATACAAGATTTAGTAAACTGAGAATAAAGAGTTTAGCATCAGACAGTAACTTTTAACATTGATTTCTTACAATAATTAAAAGACTTTTGTTCTCAAAGGAGTTGTTCTTTTAAAAAAGATAAAAAAAATTGATAACGATTAGATATGGCAGCTGCACTTGAAAGTGACACGCATAGAGTAAAATGAGGCTTGTCTTAAAAAGGAGCTTCCAAACCTGCTAAGATACAGGTTGTTAAAAAGTTGTGCATATATAATATGGATATATATATGGATATAAGCTTACATGCTTGTTATTTATATACTGGCCTTAATACTTTTTTTTTTATCTAGATATTTAAATATATTAGAGTGTTTATACAGATTTTAATTGTCGAGAGAGGATATCATGATCTGAGAGATGCGTGGTATGACACGAACAATACAATAAAAGAAGTCATGATCTTAGTCAGAGATTTTAAATAATGAGTGTATCGGTCAAAGAAGATTAGGGTGATTTCGTGCAATTAAGTATTATCAGCTCCGCTCGCTTTACTACTATCTTTAAAGTGCAACTATAATGATAGTAGTAAATGGCTCCAAATGGAAAAAATACACGTTTAAAACTTTTTCTCCATATTTAAGTTCTAGAATTCAAATAAAAGTTTTATTGTTGGTGTAGTTGGAGAAAAAGTTTGCATTTTATAAAATGGACTGGGATTGCTTTTGTGAACATTAATTGCAAACTGTATAAAAGGTCTACGCTTTAGTATCCATCAAATACTTTTATACAATCTTTAAAATAATTTAGAAAGTGAATGTTCTTGGCAACTAGGAGCATAAAGCCTAGCCATAACTAGCTTTGTAAGAAGTTTTTATCTCGTATATTAGAGCAGTACGCATGAAACTGTATTAAGGCCTAGGCAATTTTTAACAAAAAGTCAGAGTTTTATTTTCACAAATTAAAAATTAAATAGCTACTAAGTTTTAAGAGTAAAGCATAAGCTTTCCTCTTTAAACTTTTCCTCTATAAACCATAAGCATAAGCTGACTTTATAATAATGTCTTCCGAAATGACAGTTTAGGCAAATACTCTACAAAACTTTTACGCTTTTCTTAAACTAGCTAGGTCTCTGTGGCACAGTGGTACTGATTTCCTGCAATCAATCAGAAAGATTTTGTAAGCAATTTTAAATTCATTAACACTAACTGTTATTCTAACAACTATAAAATTGAGATTGCGTACTTTACAATAAATAAAGTGCACATTTATCAAAACATTGTTACTTTTCAATGCTAAGAGCGTTCAAAGTTATAGAAAAGAATATAAATTTATCCCAACTTTAACTTTGGAAAAAATAAAACTATCCCAATTTTAACTTTGGAAAAAAGATTTTTGCGCCAAAATTGTTTTAATAAATTTGACTTTAAAAAAAAATTTTTTTTAAACCACTAGATAAAAATTTATTTTAGAATATGTAATTCGTAATTTAAAGTCCTAACCTGCCCATGACATTCCATAGTTGTTTGATCGGTAGCAGGCTTTCGAAGTGCTATTAAACAAAAAATATAAAATTAAAGTAATTTATTTTCAAAAATTAGTAAATTAAATAAAAAAGATTTCAAAAATTTACCTTGCAACATATTGGTTTAAACAGATATAAACAACTGAACTTTTTTCATCATAATATATACCACGACCATAACTTTCTAATCAAATAAAAATGTTTAACTGTTATTAGAATTATTAGCTAAACTAGATATTTTTTACACTAGTCGTAGCAGTGGTAGTAAAAGTAGTAGTAGTAGTAGTAGTAGTAGTAGTAGTAGGTAGTAGTAGTAGTAGTGTTAGTAGTAGTAGTAGTAGTAGTAGTAGTAGTAGTAGTAGTAGTAGTAGTAGTAGTAGTAGTAGTAGTAGTAGTAGTAGTAGTAGTAGTAGTAGTAGTAGTAGTAGTAGTAGTAGTAGTAGTAGTAGTAGTAGTAGTAGTAGTAGTAGTAGTAGTAGTAGTAGTAGTAAAAAGTAGTGGTCTAAGATTGTAAGAAAAAAATATTTAAAAGATTTGCTACCAAGCACTCCATTACCGAGTCAATTTTAAATAATCAAACGTTTTAATACCTAAAGTCCTTTAGAAAAGAAACAAAACGATGGAAGACAACGCAAAACATGTCCTATTAGTAACACTAACGTTACAGCATAAAAAATAGTTCAGAAGATATTTTGAAAGAACGACATTAGGAAAACTATATCCCAAATGAAAAATAACAAATCATCAGGATCGGACGGGTGCACATTTGAATATTATAAGATTTTTTATGAATTATTCAAAAGGATTTTAGAAACACTGAATCATATTTTAATTAGCGGAGAAATGACACCTTCTCAAAAGAAGCTAACATAACTTGTATATTTAAAACAGAAGTTAAAAAAGAAATTAGCAACTGGAGATCTATATTTTTCACAAACGTGGATTATAAAAATTTAACAAAAACATTAGCTAATAGATTTTACAATCCGATCTAATAAAATGAATAATAACAAAACGGATTGTATTAAAAACAGAATAATGTATTAAAAATATCGAGTGCAATAACTGTCACTACACTCTAAAAACAATCCGTTAGAAAAAGCAACGGATTGCCTTCTTCCTTAACTTCCTTCTTCTTGCTTTCTTAAATTAATGAAGTAAGTTGTAACCAAAAATCACAAAATTTATGGACTATTAACGGATTCTTTAAAATTTCGTTAATTCAAAGGTTAAAATATTGAAATCCGTTGAAAAACAACTGAACTTTTTATTAAAAAAGTTTTCCACAAAAAATTATGAAGTGCGTCCTCAGTAGATTATATTTTTAAATCTTGTTTCTATGATTTAGATTTGTCAATATATTATAGTTCTTGATTTATAAATGATAAAGTTTTAAAAAGCGTTTTTCTTTAACCACATTTAAGTCCTAGATAAAAGGTTTGTTTTAGTAAGTTTAAAATATATATATATATTTTTTTTCAAATAGCTTTACATTTTGACTAAATGTGAAGCTATTTAAAAAAAGCGTAGTATAAATTGTATTTATCCATTTGCTTTTTTTACTAAATTTTAGTGGAGAAAGCAAATGGATAAACACAGTTTAAATTAAACTCTGTTATTCGTAATTTTGAAGGTTGTTAAACTTATTTTAAATTTTCTATATAAAGCATTGAGTATATTTTTAATTTTTTTTAATATGATAAACTAAAGTGTTAGTTGAGCAATTATTTCTATAATACAGACTTCTATAAATATTAACATTTCGTTTGATGGGTATCATTATTTAGATTAGCTGCTGCTATGTTTACATAGTGCTAGTCTATAAGCTTTTATAATTTGCAATTTGAATAGACTCATGGCATGCGATATCACTCTGTAAGTTTTATCAGTTGTAAAATAAATCAATTATAAAATGTTCACTTGCATTTTTTTTTGGGGTGTTTACTTTGCCAAAGCAAACACCCATAGCCAAAGTCTTTGGCTAGTTGCCGCAAAGTTTATATATAGATTGTTATATTTTGTATATTTAAGTTTTATAATTTGCTATTTTAGACACGTGTCATGCTATATCACTTTGTATGTTTAAATTAGTTAAAAAACTATTTTTTTCTTTACTTGTAATTTTTTTATGTTAGTTACAACTAAGTTTATAAATTGCATGTTTATATTAGTATAGAGCTTGCTACTTTCGACATGTGGCATTTAGGCGAAAGATGTCAAATGTTTACTTTACTAAGTTTACATATAATTTGTTTATATGCTTTTATAATTAACTACTTTAGGCATGTGGCATGCAAAATCGCACTGTAAGTTTCATCAGTTGTAAAATAATTCATTCAGACATAAGGCATCAAATTCAAATTTCTAATATTAATACTTTTAACGTGTTTATTATTATTAGATGTAAAGGTGAGAAACTTGTTTTAAATTTAAATTCTGATATTAATACTTTTAATGTGCTTATTATTATTAAGTAAAAAGATGAGAGACTTTACTTTTATTTTTGATGTGTGTAAAAATTTTACAACTATTGATGAGTTTTAAAATTTTAAAATCTTTCCCTTAGCAGGTAAGTTTATAGCGCATTTAATTTTTGTTTAATACATTGAAATGAAGAACTATTAAAATAACATAATTTTTATAAGTTCAAATGTTTTTTAGAAGGTTATAAGTCAAAAATTTACTTCCATTTTGTACTATGGTATATCATTTATAATCAATAATTTGTTTATTGTGTTTTAAGATTAGTTTATCTTTAAATAATCAACAACAGGTTGCTGGAATTGAAATGTGCACACATATGAATTTACAACATATTAAAAACCTAGTATTGTAACAATTGTATACGTCTGTGTTTTTCATATAAATAATTTTTGACCTTAAATATAATAACTGTATTAATAAAATATATTAAAAAAACTTTTTAATTTTTTATTGTAATTGAAAGTTTATATGTTGAACTAAATTATTATAAATATTTTGTTAGTTTTCAATTTAAAAGTTAAAACGTTTTTAAAGCTTGCTAAAAAATCTCTCCCGATCACGTTAGTTTGTATAAGCAGTACTGCTCGTATTAGATGTTAAATATCATCATAAGATAATCTATATATTAAAAATTAAGACTATATTGTAATTTTAAAGGCAATAATAAATTATAATGGGAAAAATTAAATTATTCAATACGATGACGTAAAAATTTTTTTGTTTTACTAAAACAGCAAAAGCCTCCTAGCGTAATAATTCCCTTATTTTAACGAACTGTTTGTTGAACGAACGGAATAAATCCTTAATTCAAACGGACTAATATCAACAAACTTCAATCTGTTAAACTTTTAATCCATTAACATAACGCAAAGCCCGTTGGTGCAATAGCGACAGATGCAGTTCGTTGTATATAACGGATTTTTTCTTAGAGTGTTCCTATATGCTATCTTTCTAACTGACTTCTGCCTTTCACTCTAATATTCTTCTTACTTTATAAACTCACTTACACTTGGTCTGTGGAAGCGGGTAATAATGCTCTTTAATGAACTGAACTTGTCTTCGCGAGTCTTGGTATGCGGCCTCTATATGGCAATTAGCCGGAGGAGTATAAACTTCAATATCACAAGTCTTATTGCGTTACATCGTTAAGCAAAAATAAAAAATAAACGGCCAGTTATCGATGGCCAGTTATTAAAAAGTAATAGAGCCGAATCAAATTTATAATAAATGCACATACTAAACATATATTACTTTAACTTTAGACAATTTATATACATTTAAAAGACTAAATCTAAAAGCTTTTTCTACGATTAATATTCTTATAATAGACGTCAAAAATACGTGTTAACATTTAATCGGGGTTTGTCCTATGTTTAAATTAAAAGAAATTTTTTTTTACATCCTTTTTTTGAATTTATTATAAAGCACAGCTGCTAAAGTTACATTTCATAAGTTTATTGCAGATGCATAAATTGATAAATTTTTACGTTTTAACTTTTAAACTTGTATTAAATTATATTAAAAATATATATATATATAGTAGGTATTTATATATGCCAATAAAAAATTTAAAATAGCTATAAATTAAAACAACCTGGAAGAGCCTGAGGGCTTTTAACAATCTTTAGAAGTTTAGATTTCTGAATCTTAGTTTTGTTTATATATTTTTCAAAGAAGCTCCAAGTTTTCCCAAGCAATTTTACTATCGAAATACCAGTAATTTTTACTGGTATTTCGATAGTAAATTCTTCAAATGGACACAAATCATAATCAATTGAAGCATTTATCTTGTGGTAAAGGCTCCTGTTATGCGTTATTGGTTCTCTATGCTACATAATAAATAAGTTTTGAAAATTTTGTAAACCGGCAAATAAAATTTCATTAATTTTAGTTATATTAAAAATAGCGATGTTAAGTATTGTAAATTATACTTTAATCAAATTTAAAAAACAACATTAAATATTAAATTAAGTTTAAAAGAAATAATCATTGATTAAATCATATGAAGACTCCACGGGAAGAAACGGCAGGGTCACATTTTTTCATTTTGCGATAAATCATTTTTAAACTTTTAAACCTATATAACTTTTTTATTTTTAGGGGAAGGATTAAAATTTTAAAGATATATTACAAAAGGAACTAATTTTTTATGCAATTAAAGTTGTATTTATAATTTAAATATAATAATTTACGTTATAGGTTTTCTTTTTTAAGTGAGGTTTTTTATAGACTCTGCCGTTTTTTCCCCGGTAAAATATCTTTTTTTATTTTATTAGTTTTTCGATCAATTAAAAACATACAATGTTAACTATTTTTTTATTAGCTTATAAATAAAATTAGGCAGAAGCTAGTTTTACCAAACAACCTCACCACCAAGACCTAATATTGACCCTTAAAAAGTCTAGGGGATCGAATTAAAATTAAAAATACTGTTTAGTGTTGATATTTTCGTTTAGAAAATAATTATAGTTCTCGTTAACCAAAGGCTTCAATTTTTGTTCTTATGTCGTGCATGAAAATATCACATACAGTCAACTCTCGATATCTTGAATACTTGGTCTCGAACTTTTTTGAATCCAGTCGAACCCTTATTTAGGTATTATACTCTCGAAATTCGAACATTCTCTATCTTGAACTAATTAATCGGTCCTTTGGAGGTTTTCGTTAACGAAAGGCTTTAATTTTTATTATGGATCTTTCATTCAAAAATATCACTGTTGATGACAAAGTTCAATTTGTTTTTAATTTAAAGGTTAACCTATTAAATACCTTTATAACTATACCTATACAGGTGTCACAAAACTGTAAGCACAAAAAGTTATTTAATGCAAAGTTTCTTTCCTGATAATAAAGGGGCTTTAAAATTTTATAGGATTAAAAACAATTTAGTATTTATTTGATCTGAATTTTTATTTTCATACCCTGACTAATAATTAAAAGATATATTCAATATCTTGTGATTATTAATTATATAAATTGCTGTATATGAAGTGAAGCAAAGAAGAAACATATTAAAGATTATAAATTTGTCAAGAAACACTAAGAAAAAAACAATTAAAAACAAAATTTAAATAAAAAAAGAAGTCTATTTGCTCTTCATATTCAGAATCAATATTTTCATGATATGTCTCAATAACCTCCTGATTGTAAGGCAAAGAATCGTAAACCTGAGCATTGGATGTAAACCTTTTAACACTTGTAAATCTCTGTACTTTGCCAAAGAGATGCAAAGTGTTGCATTATACAGAATGGGGATTTCACTATTTATAGTGTTCTTTCTATTATTTTTTAAATTAGTTTTCAACAATAATCCATTCCACGAATCACGATGAAATACAATGCCACTTGAGTCTCCTCTGAAACAAAATTCACAAAGAGGACAAGTTGGAATTGGACATTTATTCTTATAAAATGGTTTCATAAAATCAGTTATATTTTTAACCATACTTTGCGTTAATTCTATAACATGAAAAAGAGTGGGTTTTTTACGAGCATTTTTGATTGTTTTAATCCAATCTGATGCATCACTAGTGGGTGTTTTGCAATTAATTAATCCCATATCACATTCCATAACAGAATGACCACGTTCTGGAGATGTAACTTTAATAAAGTCAAACCTTTTTTTTTTCATGAACAAGAAAATCCATAAAACGAATTAATGTATAGTTTTTGCTTTAGCCAGCACATGAATCACAAAATAGCTCTACAGATCAAATTTCTTTGTCTAAATGTTTTATAAAAAAATCATCGAAGTTACTTCATCAGCCCCTTTTTTAGCTATAGTTTCATCATAACAATACAAATAAACTTGATTGCTTGAAAGCACGTGAATATTAAATGAAGAAAATGGTAATTTTCGTTTGTAGTAAAAGTCGTTGGTTGATTGATTTGGTAAGTTAAGATTTTTTTTTAAATCAAAAGCAATTGCCTTAAATTTGTACTCCCTTTGTGCTTTAAACCAAGCATTTCTTTTCCTAACATAAAATATTTCTGCATCTTTGTGGTGCTGTTCTTTCTGTAACTCAAGCTCATGCAATTGTTGTTCAGGCTTTGTAAATTCCGAATGAAAAGATAGTTCAATTTTTATTGCATCAAATTTAATTTTAAACTCACTGCATTTACAACGTTTTAGTCCTAGGGTACCCAAAAGAAATGTTAAAACTTTGTTAAATATGTTGCGATAAGATTCATATGACATTTTATCATTTCCATACTTGATTTTAAACAAGTCATTCATCTTGGTTAAAATTAATAGATCTTGGTATCTACCTCTGAAAGAAGAAATGTGATCACATATTTTATTTTTTAGTTAAGGAGTAAAATTGTTATACTGATTCTTGTGTTTACCTCTTCTATCACGGGGAGAGTGACCTATAATGAGAAAAAATAATTTTTATATATAAGAAAACTTTCATTAAAAATAAGCATTCTATCTTCAATAAAAATATATAAATTACCTTTAGTTAAAAGGCTTCTTTTAATGGTCTCTAATCTTTCATTCTTTATGCCAAAGATTGAAATAAACACAGAAAAGCAAACATAAATAAACGAACTCGTGATTTGTAATTAAAAATTTATATTTGTAACTGCTATTATAATCTTTTAAATTAATGTTTCGTGGTCTTCTTTTTGAAATTTATTTAAAGTTATTTAAAGTTATTAAACTTGCAAGATACGAATCTTGAGCATCCTAGCTGGATAGAGAGTTAAAATATCTTAATAACATTTTTTTTTCTTCTTCTATAAGCATTTAAGTTACATTCAAGCCCTGTTTTATGCGATGCTAATCTTTGTTTCTTTATACTATCTCGCAATCTTTCCTTACTCTTTCTTTTCTTAGATTTTTTAAGCATTTTTATTGGTATTTCAAGTGTCGCCATTTTTATTATTTAATTTACATTAACCAAATCACCTGTGATTATTTTGAAAAATAAAGATTTATAGCCGTAAGTATGAGTCTTGATAATTCAAAAAATAAAAATGGTAAACTTGGTTTATGTCTATTAGTAAGTTGCAAATATTATTTTAACTCATTAACACTTGTCTTTTCGGGGAGGTATGTATTGCATAATTAAAAAAAGTGATTAAGTTCCATCAAACTATAAAAGTACATCCAATTGTTTTTTTGATTTGAATTCAGATAAAATGTATAATAATATTGTTTATAAAGTTAAAAAGTGTAAAATATTCAAAATGTGACTCTGCTGTTTCTTCCCGTGGGGTCTTCATATGTAAATAAAAGTACAACTATAAAATATGATAAATAATAGCTTTGTTGTTAACTTGGCCTTGGCTTATCATAATATATTAAATAGATAATATTATAAATAAACTATTCTGATGAACAGTTCTATTAAGTAAGTCAAATAAAATATCTAATTTTAGTTATTAATTAAACAGATAAGTTAAATTTAGAAAACATCCTTAGAAAAAATTGCTAAAATATATTTACTGAGAACATATAATGATAATGCGTCAAAGGTTATAAAAAAACCAGACACCTTTATTTGTTTAGTTTTCCTTACAGAGTTTTACACACAACAAATTTTTGAGTATTGGCCCAGTGGGCACAGGACGTAAAAAAAACGTCCTTAGGACGTTCAAATCGCGTCCGTTCGTCCCATTAAAATTCTTAACGTCTTTTGAGAGTCTTTTTAGCGTCCAATAATTTTTTCGTCCAAAAAATATCCAGAATGCTTTATTAAATAAATAAAAAAATCAGTTAAATCACGCAAGCGCTAAAACTTTTTAAAATTTTTAAGTAACGCATTTTTAATGAGTAGGTACAATCGGCGGGGCGGGGCGGATCAGCGGGGCGGATCATTCAAGTAACGCGGCACATTTATAGTTTGATTTCTGCAAACAAATTCAACCTAACCAAACACATTGCTAAATTTGTTTAAAAAAGAAATGACTGTTCCAGTTTTGACAGGTTGTTTAAATCATCTTAAGATAGAGGTTATTGCAAGTCTTATTGCGAAGAGCATTAATGAAGATAGACCAACTACTCTCAACAATCCTAAGGCAGGCGAAGTTTATGTTATACAAGTGAATCATGTAAAAGGTTAGACAGCAATATTTCAGTACACTTTTAAAGTATTTGTATTTTGTAAATATATTTGTATACTAAAATAGTATAATGTAGAATATAGCATAGTTATTGGGTTATATTAGTAAAAATCAATTACTATGCTTTAAATTACTTAAGGCTATCTTCTATCTTACTTAATAAGTAAAGTTTTTACTTTAAACACATTAAAAGAAGTTATACTTGTAATCTTGTAATCTACAGTGTATATACTGTAGACTAAAGTCTACACTGTAGGTTACATCTACACCGTAGATTACAATCTACATGTAGACTGTAGCCTACATGTAGTCTACCAGACTGTATATTTCTTTTAATATGTTTAAAGTAAAATCTAACTTTAATTAGGCATAGTTAATCGTTTACTAAAGCCTATGCTACAGTACACCAAGGTATTTTATTATTAAATATAAAACTTTTATATTTAATAATAAAATACCTTGGTGTACTTTAGTAAACGATTAACTATGCCTAATTAAAGTTAGTTTGCTATAGTAAGTTTGCTATAGAGCCATTTTACAATAATAAATAATTCATTAAACAAATTATAATAGGAAAGATAATTTTTAGCTTCAAAATAATATTGCATATTGAATGACATCTTGAAAATATTTAATATAATATTAAATGACATTTAGATGCCCTTTTAATAAAATTTTGAAGCTAAAAATTAACTTTCCTATTATAATTTGTTTAATGATTTATTTATTATTGTAAAATGGCTCTATAGCAAACTTACAT